CGAGGCCGTAGGTGGTTCCACGTTCACCGTCCAGGGTTCTACTTCACCTGTGGGCTCTAGATAAGTGCCGGCTGGAGGCCACGACAGTTGTTGTTCGAAGTATTCAGCCCAGCGGTCAAGGCGTTCCTCCCTATTCGAGATGGTCGTTCCATTGTGATGCTTCATAGTTGCACTCACAGGTGGTTTCCGGGGACCGGTCGCACGGATCAACTGAACTAATCTCCGGGCATTACCTGCTTTCTGGGCCCCTTCCATTTCTTTGGATTTCTGTGTCCACCATACTTAACGTTCGGATCGCAGGCTCACTTTCACTTGGCGTCTGATAGCTCTTCGTACCGGGTTATGTTCGGAACCGGCTGTGATATTTCTTCGAGATTTAAGTAGTGCCACCGAAAGCAGTGAAGACGAAATTTGACGATGTTTCCCAAGATGGCCTTGGATGCTGATCCAAAAATAAGGCGGGCCTAGAGCTCCAAACCGGTTTCAGACCAAGTTTCCCAACGAAACATCCCGTACTACTTGCGCTCTCGCGACCCTGGGGGATGAACTTCTTCATCTCATCATCCTCATCAAAGACAGCAACATCAGTGTTGGCACTGATGCTTCACCCACCGACGTTATTTGTCCAAAATTAGTATGTAGGATTCAAGTGCAGTAATTGACCTCACCACATCTTACTTATCTAGATGTCACGGCCTAAAAATTTCAAGCGACTCTTTCTTCACTGCGGCTGGTTGCGCCGGCGTTGGCATAGCCTCTGGGTTAAGCTTCCACGTCAGTATCCGCCAACACATCGTTTGCTTGTTGGCTTCTAGAATAAAGCCCAATGACCGGAAAATTATCACTCTTATTTTTGGTTTCTACAAATCCACCAATTGTGGGGCTGCTTCTTCGATACATTTATCCTGGAACTAACTGGGTTCCTATTATCTTGTGCTTGGAAATTTCACTGCATAAGTAAGGCGTCTTAACTCATCAAAGACGCTGCTTGCAGCCCTTTTCAGCTTTTAAATTAAAACTAATGCCGATACTGGTAGTCTCTTGCAGCTTTGTACCGATAGACAATAGACATTATCAGTAGTGGGTCAGGACGTGATGAACGCTTTATACAGCTTGGTGTCCTGCTGCTGAACAGCCCTGGAGTCCGATTGGCCACCCAGCCATCGGCTGACGGCCGACAGTATTTTTGAAACTTCCACCCGATTCACGCGTTGGGTTATTCTAGATTTTCGATAAGGTTTCCAGGGAAAATGTAGAAATACACTGCTCGTTTGGTAACATTAAGGCTTTCTGACCTTCCGGCTAAACATGTTATCTTGTGTGAGGCCCTAAATGCCTTATTCTCAGGCGACGTTAATTGCAACCGATACGAGACAATCACCGTCACATACCGTACGTAACTCAGCATATGAAGCTCCTTATTGGTCGTAAAACACACTCACCGTAGCTCTAATTTACAGGCTGGGTTAGATGTTTGGGTCTAGAAAGTTGAAAAGTTGAAGGCCATAAGTTCTTGGAATTCGCTTAAACTGTTCTAGCTTATGCGCGCAGTATGCCCGAAGGTGCCTTCACGAGCAAATTAATCCGTGATAACAACGACTGGCGTATCTCCAAAAAAACAAGGGCGCCCGAATAGTTGGGATGAAGACTTCTAACAACGAATCAACCGGCCACCTGAAGTTGCTCAGCCGAATTTCAGAACCGCCACATGGACAGTGAATTCGGAACCCCAGGAATATAATCAACTACCTTTGTTGCCTCAGGTGTCACCAGGTTGCTGGTCCTAAACAACCCTGACCTGTTTATGGAGACAAAACCCTCAGCTTGCGCTTGCTTAACTGGTTTTGCTTCCATCTCGATTAAAGGGACCGTCCCGATCAACCTGGACGAGTCGATAGTGGGTCCCATTTTCAAAAACAGTTTGGCAATAACAGAGAAATTAGTTTGACCCCTATTGTATCCAGATATCTTGTGCTAATCTGCAACGTCTTACAAAAGCGTGTGAAAACGAAACCCGAAAAATTCAAAGAGGATTCCGGCCGGGGAGGGGCTATGTGGACCACATTTTCATCCTCCGTCAAACGCTAGACTACGTGCTGGCATACAGACGCCCAAAAATCTTGGTGTTTCATGACTGCCAAAGCGCGTTCTATTTCGTTGACAGGCTATTTCGTTTCAACGCGCCTTGGCAGCAGGGTGCGTCCCAAAATTTCGGTTAACTGATTCGAATATACATTGGAAATCCAGGAGCACTAAAGTAGTGGCTCGTTCATATGTGTGGTGTCGTTTTGATATCTGAAGGTGTGTGGATATTTTATCGACGTAATCACTGTCAGACGACGGCCTCGCTTGCTACTCTCTAGTCAGTGTTTCACGCCTCACCATGCCTCACTTGTTCATCATTTGTGCGGATGGAGCTAAGAGGAAAGATTTTTTCATGCTGCCAGGTAAGGAAGGTAGGAAGTCATCAGAAGTATTCTTTTCTCCCCTACCCGCGCTACTCATTGCCGCAGGCAAATGACTCGTCATATGACAGCAGTGGACGGCCGATTTAGCAGAAGATTGTCGTTATTTCTGAGAACCGTGGTCTTGCATGGGCTGGGTTACTTCAAGGGCACATAAACCTGGACTGGAGGACGAATACGGTAACATAAAGCATCCTGTTCCTCAAAAGCCGGATCGCAAGACAGTGGCGTTTGAGGAGAAGTGCGAATTTACCAGATTTGTCTTCTGGTGTCTCTCCTAAGTTCTTCTCCATTAGCTGCGAATTCATGTGGGAACGAGATCGTCACCTGTTCGCACAGTGCTGGGCAATTGGCCTGTGGCACAATGACACCGGGCTAGCTCAGAAAGGACAGCGTCGCTGCTCGAATCAAGGGGAAATGTTCTCGCCAGTCCCGAACATAATTTGGCCTGACGGATTTTTAGATGTCAATTGAAAGTGAGCCTGTGCGCCGACCGTGAAGCCTGTGGACACAGAAGGCTGAGAAAATGAGAGGCCAACCAAACAGAGATTTTCCGAAAACCGTTTCAGTTGATCCCTGCGGTCGGTCCAGGACAGCCTCTGTACGCGAAACCACCCAGGATCAGGTGACGTCACCATCTCGAATAAAGAACACAGACCACTGTGCCGAGTACTTCAGACATCGATTCTCGTAGCGTACCGTTGCCGTTCATTTGAAGATTTCGCCTGAAGTCGAACCCTGGATGAGGACAGTGGAGCCCCTTAGCGCCTTGGAGGTTTATGACTACAAATGGTCCTTGAAGCGCCACCGAGCTCCTGGTCAAGATGGTCTCCTACCCACATTGTTCAAAGATGGAATTGAAGTCCTCGCCGCCTTTCTGATCTTTTTTCCTGTACCAGAAAACTGAGGAAAATCAGTGAGAGCACCCGTTTTCGAAAAAAAGGCTCGTAGTGAGTGCGGTAACTACAGGTGATCAGCTTGACATCCATTGCAACGTGACTGCTGGAGTCATTTGTGCTTACGGTGCGTTATGTTGGCCCCTGGAACTCCCACTCGAGAGCAGATGACACGATTCTGTCCTGGTAGGAGTTGTGCTGACCACATCTTTACACCATCCGTTGATAGAACAACGTCATACGTACCAACGACCCTAAGTTTCAGTATTCCTGGATTTCCGAGGCGCATTCGACTTGATCTGTTCCACTTAACGCGCTTGTCCATCAAGGAGCGCCCCAAAAATTTGTAAACATGATAAGTTGTTTGTATTCTCAGACTTCCAGACGTTTGTGAGAGCCGTTTCTGAGATCCCTCCAAAAGCTTCCGTAGACGAAGCGATGTCCATCAGGGATTCCCACCCTCTCCATGCCTGTTTAATTTCGTGACCGACGAGATAGTGAGGTGAAAACTGGAAAGCCTTCAAAACCTGGGTGTTCTAATGGGTGCTAACGAAAACCTTGTACTCTGGAATGGGCAGATAACATCGTTCTCACCTTCGAGGAAGAGGAGAAGTTGCAGGTGATTGTGGATGAACTGGCCCAAGTCGCCGCGTTTATTGGTGTGCACTTCGCACCCGCAAAGCGTAAGGTTATGCTCCTGGATATGCGGGCACTGAACACGCCACTTACATCCCAGGGAGCGGCGTTGGAATTAGTGGTGCATTTCGCTTACCTTTGAAGTTGTACCAGTTCCGATTGTATTATGTCATAGGGTCAGTGCCTGAATCTGCGGGGTATGAGCAGCGAATTCTACTTGCAGAAACCTGTGCCGCTAAACTGGTATATTCCTGAATCCAACAGACCCGTGTATCAGGCTTTTTTCGGTGCCCGATTCTGTATGTCAGAAGCAGAGACGTGACCAACCTATGACCTGGTAGAGGAGCGCGACAGCAATCTGGAGTTATCCAGTCAGTGGTTACAGCACAAATTCACTGACCGCAAGGTCTGTGGTTCGAACCGGATCTCGACTTCTCCTGTTCAAACTTGAGTAACCTGGCAGTATCACAGCTCTCGTGCTTCCTTCGGGTAACATGGCAGTCAGGCAGCGAAAGGGTGCTACATCTGAACGAATATATCCTTTGCTATTTTTTAAACCATTCGCCATGAGCATCTTTCATTATTGTCATCAAAAAAGAAAATGGCAGGGTTCCCACGTGTGGTGATTAATCAACCGCGTTAAAAGCCGTGTTCGACTCTCACCAATATCTATTACCGATACCAGGGGATATGTCCACCAAGCTCAATGGTGGCAAATGTTTCGCAAGGCTGGATCTCACTGATAGTTACCTTCAAATAGAAATATCCTATGACATCCTAAGAACTTTTAACAACTAGTACACATTGCGGTATGTTTCAATTTCATCATCATCATGGACAGCATGACGTCAACGTTCAACGCCGATGCTTCACTGCTTCCTTTACCAGTTGAGGTGAAATCTGCACAAGCCATATTTCAACAAACAATGGATGCCATATTAAACGGTTTATCAAGAGTTTCCGCTTTATTTGGATGGCATCGTTCTTAAAAGTTCTAGTTGAGAACTTTCGCATCATCTGCATTGTGTACTGGGACGAATCCAACAATATGGTTTTCGTCTACATGCAGAAAAATGTGCATTTTTCTCAAATCTATCAAATATCTTAGATTTAATTTTGACGAAAGCAGTCGTCATCCAGAACAAGAAAATATTTCTGCCATACAGCAAATGCCAGCACCGACAGATTTAGCAACCTTGCGCTCCTTCCACAGTTTGGCAAGCCATTCCACTGCATTTTTGTCAGATATGCATCGTGCCTGAGAATCACTACGTCATCGTTTAAAAAGGCTGTACCTTGGAACTGTTTACATGGGTGTCATTTCGCTTTTGATACAGTACAGTTACTCTTCAGTTTTGATCTGCTATTGACATATTACAATCCAGTCCTGGGTACTATTGTTGCTTCAGACGCAGCCAACTATGGCAATGGAGCTGTCATCTCTTACGTTTTTCCTGACGGAAAAAAATTACTCACGCAGGTAGAGCCATAACAACCAGAGTGATATTACGGCCAGATCGAAAGAGAAGCCTTGGCGATAATCTTTGCCACTAAATCCCCGAAATGCTCCACGGACGTCACGTTCACCATCATCATTGTCAGTTGTAGTAACCGCGTACTTGCTGTACAGTGGTGGTAGCTGCGACAGTTTCGTTCACCGATGACTTGGGGAGGTGGGGTAGGTAGCGCCGCATTGGTGGTGGGAGCTTATAAATTAGTGCGTAAATACAGCGCTGTCAGCTGACTGTTAAGTGGGGGGTTAGGAAGGGAGCTATACATTGAAGGCAACAGTTTGGATGCATGAGAGCCATTGACGGCGCGACTGGGTCATGGCTGACAATGTCTCTAACCGTTGATGTGGCCCATCTCGAGGTCCCCATCCAGAAAGACGGCAATGATCAGCGCATCTGAGTTCGCTGGTAATGGCTTTCATACTTCGCTGCCAAGTCATTGTTTGACCGTCTCTGGCTCCCTTCCACCCTTCACGTGGTTGTGCGATAAGAACCCTTCGAGGAAGTCGGTCAACTGGCGTACGCAGCACGGGGCCAAGCCAACGCAACTTATGCAGTGTGATCAGTTCACCCAAGGAGAGTGAGTTATTTCTCCCGAATGGCATTCGACGTACTTCAGCATTACTGATCCGGTGTTCACACCAGACTCGGGCAATGCTCCGAAGACATCGATAGTAGAACACTGAAAGTCTTTTGACGTTCTCAGCGCGCAACGACCAGGTTTCTGATCCGTATAGTAGTATGGAGAGCACCTCAGCATTGTAAACTCGACCCCTGTTATGTTACAGTTGTCACTGACCATAAGCCGCCTCTCTGCCTTCTCAGATCGAAGAAAGGCATCCCTTTTTACACAGCACACCGACTGCAAAGTTGAGCTAAAGTGCATTCGTGCGACGACTTCCCCATCAAATACCAGTTGGCTGTTGGTCAAGCTGGTGCACTATAAAGACTCACGGATTCTTAATGTCCCGAGGATGTTGTTGGTGCCTCAATAGCGGTGGAACAAAGTTAACTCGATGTGGTTCGGGACGCCACTGGTTGTGATCTGTTACTTCGAAGGGTAATCCATTTTCACCGCATACACGGGCCTCTAGTATGTTCCAGTAAACAAATTCAGCCGTTCTACCAACGCTGACCCTCCCATTCCGAGGTCGACGGTTTCATACTCTTCGCAGGACGGGTGATTGTGCCCACCAAATTACGGCGCAACGTCCCAAAAAAATTCATTTTAAACCTTCCCGCATTAGCTGCATGAAGATGCTAACACGTAGCGATGTCTACTAGATAAGCAGTCAGAGCATGTACGAAAGTACTCAAACTGCCAATCATCTGCACAATCGCCTCGAAAACAGAATTATGTTCATGGTCTGTCCCAGAAACGCCATGTTCACGACTTCAATTTGACTCTGCGGGACCAATAAATCGCCAACAACACCGGATCCTCATGGAAGCCTACAGTAAATGGCCAGAAGTATTCATTATGAACCATTTCACTACTCATGCCATTCTGGAGTTCCGTTGTCTCTGACAAAGACAGTGCTTCCACCTCCATCGAATTTTCTGCTTTCTGTCAAAAAACAGCATACATGTGCGATCACCACCGTTCTATCCACAGTCACATGGCCTAGTGGAAAGAAGTGCAGACACTTTCAAACGCGCACTTCTAAAATTCAAAGAAGAGGGGACCAAGCAGGAACCTATCAAGACAGGGCGACACCAAATGTTAACGCTCCACATGGTAAGTCTCCGGTAGATGTACTTATGAACCGGAAGAGCCGTTTACCCGTTAAATCCTTCCAACACCACACTCTCCAACCGGTAGAAACATAAATATGGAAGTTCAGTTCAGTCGACATCAAGGTGCTCTAAATAATATATCTATACCGGGTCAATTTGTTTTGGCAAAAGACTATCGTAGTGATGTGGAAAAAAGGCCACAACGTATAGTTGTGCGCCGTGTTGGAAAGGTTATCTATGAGGTAAACTTAGGCTCCTCCATTTAAGCCCGTCAGTTCGATCAGCAACGCTCTGCCTTTTTTCCAGCGACAGCTACACTGGATCCTGGTTGTCCACTTGAGATTCTTCTTCTTGAATTACCTTAAAAGCCTGAATTTCCCGAGCTGATGTTGAACCAGAAACTTGAAAACGGAGTGGATGGATCGAATACGAAAGTCTGTCATACCAATGCAAGTCAACCCGCAGCAGCAGTCGTACGATCAAGCACTTCAAAGGGGAGATATTTAGAGGGCCGCCTACAAACAAACAAATGCGCTTCGCTAACAATTTGTCTTGTAGACTGAAACCTTGTTTTCTCTATTTTAGCCTTTCATTGATATCCTGTTGGAATGTTAGCTCTTTGCATTCCGGTCCACTTGGATCCATATCACAGAACGATTACGTTGTTTACACTATACCTTCCTCGAGGTCGTTTGTCTTCTCGACTCCGGTGTAGCTGACAAGTCCGAGTGGCACATCATTAGAGACCATGACAAACACCCTTTCTGTGCCTAGCTGCCATGCTAGCCGAAGGAAGAACGAGAGATGGACACTGCCAGGTTGTCCAGTAGTCGAGATGCAGGCCGACGTTCCGGTCAGTAAGTTCGCACCTTAACCACTGCGATACATCAGGCTCCGGTGTGTGGATAATCAGGAGTGACATCTTCAGTTGTACGCTGAAGATGTTCCGTTCCTGGCCATTACGAACATCCAACACAAATGCTCACATTGATTTACTTGGAAACCACCAACCGCAAGACATTCATGTACTCAACTGGATCATGTAGCTATCAATTACCAATGGAGAGCCTCAAATGAGGATTGTCGCTCCTCGCTGATTACGCAAGTTGACTGCGATCATGCCATTGTGCGAGCCCAGTTAGCGCCTCACTTTCCGTCAACATTAAGCGTGTCAAAGCGGTGCAGCTCCATTCACCAACTTTGACGAGTTTCAGTAGCTCAACAGCATCGAGCTGATCTGGAGAGAAAGCTACTGGTAATTCACGGTTACGCGGATGAGGAAGACTGCTTGGAAGATGAATGGAAGCGGGATGATAAAAGAGCTACGTTCCCATTTTCAAGAACTGTTTGTCCAAGCCATCTGACTCGACTAAACTAACAATAGGTATCGTCGAGATCAGCAGCTCTTATTGCCGCCATACCAACGACTATCAATTATGATGGCGCATACAGAACCCTCAAACACCGGATAATCAAGAGCTTGAAGAATGACCGAGAACTCTGGCGGATTTCAAGGGTCCAGGATATGAAGAAGGCTTTCGCTGCATGCAACAGCCACGCCCTTTTTCAGTCAATTCACTCAACCCGTCAAAAGAAGATAGGTGCCACGAACCAATATGCGAAAAATACGGAACGGCAATCCTCTAACGAAATCCTCGTCTTGAACGATGGGCTGAGCATTTCAAAAGAGTTCAGCCGGTCTCCTTCAACAAAACCGCTGAAAGCACCAAGCGGTCTTGAAAGGAACGTTGAAACCATCCCACCATCAACAAGAGAAATCTAGAATGACATCATTCCTCCGACGCGACCAGGTACTCGGCCGGGATGGTTTGTACCCCGCACTCTTCAAAGAAGATAGTGAGGTCCTGGTGGACCGTCTGATATCCATAATTCAGAGGATTTGGAACGAAGAGAGAATACCAGCGAAATGGGCCTTTTCGACCGCCATCCCAGTTTCTAACAAGGGCGGGAGGACATGTTTTGGCACCAACCTGGATTCCGCTGCATTTAATGTGCTCTCTGGCATTATTTTTTCGCAGGTTATTCGATTATCTGTAGAGACAGATTCGCGAGAATCAAGCTGGGTTCCGCCCTGGCCGAGGATGCATCGACCATAGCTCTACTCTGAGAAAAATTTTGAACAGCGCCACTCCTTCAACCCTCTCACTTTGATCGTTTTTCTTGACCTGAGAGCTACTTTTGACCTGATTAATATTCTAAAATCTTGGCAGTGGCTAGTATGATGACCAAAGGAGGCGCGGGGGCTGAGATACTGCCGGGTTACCCAACTCTAGACAGGGCATTCGACATGCTGAGGTTGGGTGCGAACGACGGACCTTCCGGCCAGTAAGTTCGCTCTTTAAACACTAAGCTGGAGGTGTCTGGTGACCATGGGTGTCTGTTCCAAATTTATGAAAAAAATCGCTCAGCTGTAACACCCCTTTGGTGCCGAGCTGACATGCAACCCGAAGAAAGCACGAGGGCTGAGATAATGCCAGGTTGCCCAAGCCTAGACAGGGTAAGTCTAAAGGCAGATGTCGGGTTCGAACAACGGACCTTCCGGACAGTAAATTCGCACTCTAACCACTTGGTCCATCTCGTCCCTTCCAAACCTATAACCTTCATGAGGGCACTGCATTCGAATTCCTGTGGACGAGTATACAGCAAGCCTTCGCTGAATTTCATCACGTCTAGCGGTTTAAGACATGGCTGCCTCGTCCCGCCTTTTCTCCTTTATTTTGTTTTAGATGTACTACTCCGGGGCGTTTGCTCAGACATTCAATATATGGACGACATAGTTCTCCTTGTTTCATATCCTTGCAGATAAATTTGTTCACCTGGGGAATTGCATAATTTCCGGTGTACCGGCTGGAGACGAGATTTTATTATGGAAGCTTTTTCCAGCCACCGACGCCTATTGAACCGGTGTGACATCACTTTGTCCGTCATGGGCAGAGTGTATATTGCGGAAGGGAGATCCATATCGCGTTGTGGACCGGAAACGTAGCATAGGATATACGAAAGCTGTTAGTGCTTGACCACCGAATTAGCAATGGTGAGATAAGTCAGAAAGTTTTGGGAAAACAGGAACTCCTCCATACTAGACGAGTTGCGCATACTTCATAGTTCCGCGGTTTCGGACATTCACTAAGCGTATCAGAAGATCATGTCTTTTCACCCAGCTGTGCTAAGTGAAGGCAATCGATAAGTGGACAGTGTATGACCTGGCAATTAAATATGAGAGCACTGACCAGTAAACTCATTCTGGAAGACAAACGCCATCAGTCTTGATAGAGGTCCCGGGACTCAACTCATCAATAGTTAATGACACTAGCAGGCATGACTCAGTCAGGCAGCCAGTAGAGCTCATGCATCAGGGCCATCACCCTCAATAACTAACTGCCGATTTTCGCGAGATAACGGATCATACAGTCACCTCCAATGCTAATCTATGTCTCCCACTGTCCTCCATCTCCCGGTGACCGCGCTCTTTAAACACTAAGCTGGAGGTGTCTGGTGACCATGGGTGTCTGTTCCAAATTTATGAAAAAAATCGCTCAGCTGTAACACCCCTTTGGTGCCGAGCTGACATGCAACCCGAAGAAAGCACGAGGGCTGAGATAATGCCAGGTTGCCCAAGCCTAGACAGGGTAAGTCTAAAGGCAGATGTCGGGTTCGAACAACGGACCTTCCGGACAGTAAATTCGCACTCTAACCACTTGGTCCATCTCGTCCCTTCCAAACCTATAACCTTCATGAGGGCACTGCATTCGAATTCCTGTGGACGAGTATACAGCAAGCCTTCGCTGAATTTCATCACGTCTAGCGGTTTAAGACATGGCTGCCTCGTCCCGCCTTTTCTCCTTTATTTTGTTTTAGATGTACTACTCCGGGGCGTTTGCTCAGACATTCAATATATGGACGACATAGTTCTCCTTGTTTCATATCCTTGCAGATAAATTTGTTCACCTGGGGAATTGCATAATTTCCGGTGTACCGGCTGGAGACGAGATTTTATTATGGAAGCTTTTTCCAGCCACCGACGCCTATTGAACCGGTGTGACATCACTTTGTCCGTCATGGGCAGAGTGTATATTGCGGAAGGGAGATCCATATCGCGTTGTGGACCGGAAACGTAGCATAGGATATACGAAAGCTGTTAGTGCTTGACCACCGAATTAGCAATGGTGAGATAAGTCAGAAAGTTTTGGGAAAACAGGAACTCCTCCATACTAGACGAGTTGCGCATACTTCATAGTTCCGCGGTTTCGGACATTCACTAAGCGTATCAGAAGATCATGTCTTTTCACCCAGCTGTGCTAAGTGAAGGCAATCGATAAGTGGACAGTGTATGACCTGGCAATTAAATATGAGAGCACTGACCAGTAAACTCATTCTGGAAGACAAACGCCATCAGTCTTGATAGAGGTCCCGGGACTCAACTCATCAATAGTTAATGACACTAGCAGGCATGACTCAGTCAGGCAGCCAGTAGAGCTCATGCATCAGGGCCATCACCCTCAATAACTAACTGCCGATTTTCGCGAGATAACGGATCATACAGTCACCTCCAATGCTAATCTATGTCTCCCACTGTCCTCCATCTCCCGGTGACCGAAACCCTAGTAGCTGGTGCAAACGTACCTTCGGCCAATGGCTTACAACTGACAAACTGAGCTGAACTAAAGTTTATTTTTCGGTGGATGGAATTGCAGTAGCTAGAAACAACTTATCCTTTGTACATGGTTGGCGACCGGATAACGGAAGTGAACTAAATAAGAGGTTGGCCACTGTCCGCATTAGTTTTCAATCACCAGTGAAGATATCGCATTGAATGTCTCGAATACATCAGTTTATGCGAGTGTCGATCTGAGCCCCGGTGATAAACAGGGATATGCCTCTTGGGTCCGCAGTGGTTGGTGGTAACTGGGAAAGGAGAAGTTTTTATGGTCGTCCCGGTAAATCTACCACGTTCTGATCACGACTGTCTCGGTTATAATGGTGGCTTTCAGAAGCGGCAGTTACTGTCGCAAGTAAATGAGGATAAAAACGCGCCGTTCCTGATGTCACTTATGTCGTGGAAGCATATAATTTTTCTCACGGAAGTTGTGTTCGTCCGGAACATCCAATTTCTGGACCTAATAGATGGTAAGGTCTCTCGATGTCCTGCGCTCCCACCCCTAACCGGGCTTTTGTAATACAATTTCCCAGATATTAAGGTGTACACAAAACGACGTGAGAAAAGGTACAAGAGGTGCTGGCTCAACATCTTGGTTGCTCTCAATAAAACTCCAAGAAATCTACATTCATGAGTACGGATGGGAGCTAGTTTGTGTGAAGGTTACACCAGCGATATTGGTCTGGCCTATAATTCCGTGCGTTGTCAACGTAGTGCTCAGTGGTCTTCCTGCGATCTAGGTCTAATGAATGAACGTCTTCGTCATGCAAGCCTTAGAGGATTAAGATTTCGGTGCATTCATCTGACGCTTCCGAAATTCTCTAGTGCAACGTTTTACCGACACTGCATGGAACCAGTCGCCAAGATGAGTACATACTGCACCTGCATCGACAATTACCTGTTGAAAGCCCGCAGCTTGTCCGTCAACCTGCCAAAGCTTAAGAATGTTTGTAACCAAAGTACTGATTTTGCGGGACATTATTGTGAACGCCGCGGCGAACCACGGACGGATTACATCTCACTGCAAATGAAGTGTGACCATGGTCTTTCGCGGTGTAACGATCAACAACACCGCAGAGGATAAGTTTTCACGAAAGATCGCCATCGATATCAAGCAACCGATGTCATCCTGAAATTACAATATTGTTGAATGCTAACCATTCGATACTAAACGGACCATCTCGGGACCGACGGAATCCACGAAATTGCCGGATGTCAACTGGGATACTACTGCCATGGGCAATGTGAGAAGGGCTGTGGTCTCAGAAATGGACGAAACGTAGTGAATAAACCTAGAAGAATAGAACTAACGGCGTACCGTTACAGGGAGCCGAAAACCTATAGGATATTTGAAACCACAAGGGGGATTCTAGGAGAAGCGGAATAATATGTCCTACACATACAGAGAGAAATTTCGACTGACAGGAAAATTGCAGCGAACACAAATTAACTCACCTGGTTAGCCTTATTAAGCTGCTTCTTGAAACCCGCGAGCGACATGTCTGTGCGCGCAACAATACGCAGCTATTTACAAATCTACCGCCAACTCAAATAAATGACCTAGAGTTCAAGAATAGTCTCACGAGTTCACGGATGGATACACGAGATCGAGGCATTTCCCCTAGATCCCCGTGCCTGTTTTGTCCTTGGCGTTCAGCTGTTGTCATTCACCTGCAATTTATGTCCTCAGCGTCGGGCGCTATGGTCGCCAGCGCGAAAACTCGTGTAAATAACTGTCTAATGGTGCTTCCAACTGGGTTTTGGAGAGAGCGTGGACAACCGTTGAAGGAAGGTTATTCCACGCACGGATTCGCGAATTCACGGATTGATACACAGGATCGAGGCTTTTGCCCAAGTTTCCCGGGTCGGTTTTGTTCTTGTCGGTCAGTGGCTGTCGTTCACCTGAGAGGCACAAGTGAAAAAGGGGTGTAGCACTGCTCTTTATGTTCTCAGCGCGTGACAGTATGCTTGTCAGCGCGAGGATTCGCATAAATAAATATCTAATAGTGGTTTAAATTGGGTTCTTGAAGGAGCGTGTACAACCGTCGGAGGGAGGTCACTCCACGCACCTACTACCCAAAATGAAAAAAATTTTCTCTAATGAATGTCTGTGCCCTGAGCTTGAAAATTTTCTTACTATGTCCCCGCCGGGTGTTTGCCGGGTCAACGATAAAAAACCTGTTTGCCAAGCTTTGATCAAACAGGGCGTAAGTAAGAATTAGGTCTCCTCAGAGGCAACGGTACTCCAGGGGAAAGAGATCAAGCGTCGCGAGACGCGTTTCGTAGTCCACGGATTTGAGGCCAGCAACCATTGTCGTGGCGGCCCGCAGGACACGCTCAATCAGCGTGACGTCTTTCGTACGTCCTGAGTAGACAGTTTGGTTGGCTTCCTCCAGGAGCTGTCTGACATAGGCACCATAGAGCATTTGGAAGGTCATTCGAGTAATACGGGAGAAGGTGCGTCGGATCATCCGTAAAATGTCGAATGCATTTTGGGCCGGGTTCCCATGGTGTAGTGAGAAGGACAAGTTTGAGGAGACCCAGATGCCCAAATCCTTTTTGACATCTATCCTCATGATGTTTTCTGGTCCTTTCTCACCATGCATAACAAAGGCATTCGCTGAGTCCCCTCCAAATGACATATGGACGCACTTTTCGTCATTCAGAGGAAGGTGCCAGTCCAACGACCACTGCTTTGCGGCGTCTACATCCATTTAGAGGACACTGGCATTAGAATTCCAGCATTTCAAGTCGTCCGCAAGGAGTAGACATGGACTTGCAAGAACATCTGTGAGGTCGTTGTTGAATATCAGAAATAGCAGTTGTCAAAAGACGGAAACTTTAGGAACTCCTATGGAGACCGGCGCTGGAGAAGAGTTGGTCGATCCTACTTTCACTCGTAGTATTTTGTCCGATATGACCGTCTTAATTCGGTGTGGAAGTCTTTTTGAATCCCGTGAAGTTCAAATTTGTGAAGCAGCGGGACGTGTGGGACCCATCGAGGGCTATTGAGAAGTCGAAAAATATGACATCGAATATGAGACTCTCGCCCCTGGCTTGGGTTAAGCTGTCCATAAACAAGAGCATGTTTGTCACTCAAGAGCGTTGTAGGAGAAATCCGTGTTGATCTGGAGATATCAGGTTGCTGGAAGTAAGGTATCCTAGGATAGCTCGCTTCAGAATGCGTTCCATCATCTTGCATGGCACGCTAGTGAGGCTTATAGGCCTGTAGCTGCCAGGCGATAAACGGTCCCCAATTTTGTATATTAGCGTGGCAGTGGCTTCCTTCCAAGCAGCGGGAAGTTGACCTTCAACAAGCGACCAGCAAAACAGCAATTATTAATGATTAGCCAGTGTAGACGACGTTTACTTGGATGGATCTCGCCGGGCATCAACGCGCAGAATGGGTTGTTCTTGTGCAAGAGTTCGCAGATGTTCTCCATCGTGAAGAACAGATCGGTTAGAGGCTGTTCGTAGTAAGGCCTTTACATTGATGTGTGTCGGGGGCGCTGGGCTGAATGCAGACTCACATGGTGTTCGCCGTAGACCTCACATACCACATACCGTCGCTTGCGAGTTCTCCGTTCCTATCCCTCAACGAGGACGTGGATCGTTCGTTCCCGAGGCGACGTCTCATGTGTTTGAACAGTACATTTCTTTTCTTCCGGGCGAGGTCGAGAATGGTGGCTTATTTTCATATGGTCCTTTGGCGGATTTCTGATTTACAGCGGTTCCGTATTTTACGAAATGCCAGCTCGTCTTCTGTCTCCTGTAGTCAAGTTTTTGAAAAAGTTGAGGCCTCTTTTCTGGAAGACGCCGAATGCGTGCCGGATTTTTGGGACGAACATCGCGTCAGCTTCGTGATCTTTCCGGACAATGGTCCTTTATAAGTCTTTCACTGACGCCGGTTCCATTTTATCTTGTTCTAGAACGATTCGCATTCCTGAGGGGCCTGCATAGACGAAGCTTCGAAACCACGTTTAGGGTTGCGGATTTCTGGCCTAATTGCAGTTTAAATTCAACGGTCAGCACAGAGTGGCCGCAATGTCCCAGCGGAGCGTTAACTGTTACCTTTTAAACGAAGTGCATTTCGTTGGTGACGACCAAATCCAAGAGAGATGTTAGGTGATCTGCACGGTATCTGATTTTGCAACGACATATTGAGTCCAAGTGCTATGTTGAACGGCTTCCATCAGCGCCACTGCAGAAGGTCCACATGCTCCGGCGCGTTGCAGCTCCATCCAGGAGGCATTTGGAGAGTTAAAGTCACAACCAGCAGTGAAATGGCAGTTGGATGAGAGTTGCTCAAGGGTTCGTACGAAGAATTGGTCAACTTTAGGGGGAATCGGGGGACACCGCAAGGAGAGAATCGGACCCGCGCGGTGGGATTCGGACCCGCAGTGCATCGAAAATGGTACAGGAGTATATCAGAGAGGACAGTCGGGATGGGCAGGGCTGCATGTACGTACAGAGCAATCCAACCAGTCCTTCATTTTGAGTTACCTAGAAAAACACATTAACCCTCTATCGATATCTCCGCGTCAGGTATATCTGGTTTGAGCCAGGTCTCTGTAAGTGCGATTATGGACGGTTGTTCAAGGCGAGGCCATTGATTAATATCGCAGAGTTTGGTGAAAAAGCTCGGGCAGTTTATGAACAAGCATTTCAACACTATCACTCCTGCCATGATTAAGTTTGGAGCACGGGGGGCAAGCGGTGGTAGCCATGAATTAGACAATATTTTTAGTTGAGCACCTGACAAGGTGCAGCTGCTGCTGTACTAGATGAAAGAAAATGTGCGCCCACCCTCTGAATTGAACAGGACATGAATCTCTAAAGTACATTTCGCCCGTGCCTTTAGAAGCAATTTCCCAAAGTTAACCTGGACACCTTAAATTTGCCAGGACGTATTGTTACGCAGAAGAAAATTATCCGAAAAGTATTCTTCCATATTGTTGTTTCGCCTCGGATTAGAAAGCTTTCCATCATAAAATAAAGTTCCCTGATCATAGTTATCAAACTATTAAACTATTATTGTTGAAGCAGCCTCTTTGGGAGCTCAATCATTTTAAAAACGTGGCTGTATTATTTCAGAGTTTTAAAAGCCACTGTGGTCATCGTGCTGTAATCGCTCGATCTGCCGCATAGCCACGTTTATCGGGGTGTATTATAGACTTTCGAAAGTAAGTATGCGTGTAAACTTGGATGACCTGCTTGGCTTACTTTAAGTACTCGATAAAATTGGAAAGAGCCCTTCGGTTTATTGAATGGCTGACCAGTGAAGACATATCAGAGTGCACGCAAAATTTTCGTCCTGGATGGTCAGCTGGCGACCGAGTTTGCTGACACTTGAAATGTGTCTAACCGTTCGCTAGACGGCTAATAATTTACTTTTCTCCCTTTGGCTACATGACCGTTTTGGCAGATGGTTTGATTGTCTTCGTTCCTTCAACCAAACAAGCTGCACTTCGCATTCAAAATCCCTCACTGTAAGCTTCCAACCATTCCAATCAAGCACTGTGAGGGGAAATACTCCCTGTATCCACATACAACTAAATGAAGTGACCGCCTAGATCACAAAGAAAAAAACAAAGGGAGAATGCATTCGGCCGTTGAATTTTGGAGGTAGTATATTCACTCCACATTTCATAGATGCATTTTGGAGGTTCCGTACACAGCGTCGAAAGAATTTCAGAGCTTAAAACCAAACAAGAATCGAACTTGCGATACGAGGGCTAGCCAGATCAGCAGACAGCTGCAGAAACTTGGAGACCCCCGGTTATTTTGAACATGGCCGCCTATGGTGTTGTGTGCGTACTCTGGGCCGTCGAAAACCTACGACTGTTGGCGTAAAATGCGCGCAGGCTAGCCTGTCATCAACTCAGCTGAATACTAGTACATATCCGTGTTCCTGAATTTTCATCGCGACGCATTATTCAATAAATAATGTGTGCGAATTCAGAGTGCTCAGTATTCGCACAATGGAATAGAATTTTCGAAAGCTATGACGTGTCTCTGATGGACTGAAGCAATCGGCTAACTGAGTTGAGAGTAACAGCCCAAAAGTCTAAGCCCAATTATGGC